GCAGAGAAGGTAAAAAGACTAAGATTTGTCAAAGTGAACAGCAACAAGAAAAGCATCCAACTCCATCAGCCCCTTAAAAGTCCTCATATACAGGTAAATATACAAAATTCCCAGGAAAACATACAGAGCAGGAAGACTTTCATCTTGTAATGAGAAATACGCGTCTGACACTCATCAATAGCACTGCTTACATTACAGCACAAATAAATACTCATTAAAGGTAAGTGGAAGGAGAGGTAACATCTGTGTGTGTGTATAAATGAACATTCCAGAAATAACAGAGCAGTAATGCTTCAACAGGAGACCAAAAAAAATGCCCATCAACAAAAGCAAATAGTGCTTGTTCAGGCTAGCTCAGAACTCCTTGTGGTGTGCTTGCATTGTGAAATACATTTTCAAGTGAAGCAGGGATACAACTGTTTTATTCATTAAGAAATACAAAAATAACAACCAGAAAACTCATCTTTAAGGGACACATACACCAGATCACAGAATCAGCTATGCAAAACATGTTAAATAACCCATTGTTTTGTAAAGTATGCCTCTGGCTAGTGTGAAAGACTGAAAATTGGGTGTTACACTTTCAAAGCCAAGGTATTACCCATATAGAGTTTGAAAAACCACTGAAAATGCCTTTTTCCAAATAGCTCAGAAAGCAAAGGTCTGTAACAAGGTAAACCACATAAACGTGGTATAAACTGTTGATAACATGATAAACACTAATCCATAGTAGCTACAACAGGTCAAACAATCCTAATCTAAAGGTTTGGATAAGCTGCCTTCTATCAGAAACCCAACCCTGTGACAGACTGTAGGAGCAAAACCCCATTCTCACAAAACACACCGTGTTTTGTTCACTGTGTGCACATCAGAGGGGTATCCTTCAGGCCATTTTTTAGGGATTAATTAACAATATGATTATTTAATCCGAACTTTTTCATTTCAGAATATACATTCTGAGGTATGTAGAGAAAGGAAGCTGCTCTCTTTTCACACTCAGATGGGAGGCTGAGGTCCTCAGCAGCACTCAGACCCTTTCTGGCAGCAGTGGCAATGCCATGTTGGGATGGCAGCATCAGCTGGCAGAGCAGGGTAATAAACCACTTTTCTGACCTACACCATCCAATTAGACCTTCCAATGCCAAATGAAAGCAAGATTTGTTTTACAGGGATCTCAGCTGAGGTGGGGGGGGAGAAGGACACCATAAAGCATTTGAGAACTTTACATTTTTAGCGATTTTAAGTATTCCTGCTTCACAGGTCGTTAAGTCCATATGTGCAAATATCTGGCAGAGTTCAGGCACACCTCCTGTCAGTGCCCACCTCCCCGTGGGGCTGAGCTCCTGGGAGCAGCACGGGACTGCCAGAGCCAGCACCGGAGCCTGGACTGCAGCTATTGCAGCATTCAACACAAAGCCTTGCCCAGTTCTGGAGGGTAAGGATTGTTACACTCCAGAAGCCTGCAAGATACAGCTTTTGTTTTGCAAGTGTGTCACCCCATCAGTGACCCACAGAGATTTACTGCCATGGAAGCTGTCTGGGCTGTTAGCACTGCTCTAAACCACCTTTCCAGCACCTGATATTACAACAAACACGTGGGAGGTACTTCCACAGACTTGTGCAAGTATCACTGCACTCCACGTACAAGTGTTTAGCATGTTTCTTTTTAATGCAGTAGTAGTCAGTATTATCAAAGTTTAAGTTAGGCTAGTTTTATTAGCCAAATAAAATTTACAAGTCAAGAACAAATTATATTTTAGAGCAGACATGAACACCCATTACTATTAAAAAACTATATGTACATCACAACACACTGAGTTCAGTGACACTGTAGCCTGAAAAGTTTGGTTTTGGGAATTCCATTTTGGTCATGCAGATTACAAAAATAAAAGAACATCTGTGTTTTAAGAAAACTACCACATTTTTACTTTATTAAATGCTGAAAGCAAACTAATTGCTCTTATTTTCTATTTCTCACAGGTGACATCAACACAATCAAGCATTTGGTCCTGAACAGAAGGCCATTAACTTATTGAGATAATTTCAGACATATGAACTTCATAACTCAACTACAAACTAAGGGACAGTAAAGTTACTTTATTTCTATCTTTGTGACCTTCCTGAAGCAACTGTGAAGTCACAAACTTATTTACATGCCAGCCACACACCTTATTTCAGCTCAGCTCTTCCTATGCACCTCTATGCAGACAAATCCACCAAGGGCTCAGAAAATCATTAAATACCTTTAAACACATAAGCAAAGCTTTATCAAGAAATCTCTTATAACTAGGAACTGTACTAGAAACAGCTTTATATTCCAAGAGTCTTGAAGTCACAGTGTCTTCAATGCCACCCAATACAGATCTGCACTGTTCTGTATTCCATGGTACACCCTGGGCCCCTTCACAGGATCCTCTCCAATGGCACCTGCAGGGTCACAAGTTCTCACTCCCCAGACACCAGGGGTCACAGAGCAGGTGCCACCTACTCAAACCACATGGTTAAACAGTGACAATCTCCTGAGGGTGACACTAGGCAGCCCACCCCCTAATCCACGTGTGATTTTTGGGATCAGCTCTTTGTCCTAGCAGACTTTAGTCCTACAAGGACTATTGCACACAGGTAACAGCACATTTCAGTACAGCACTTCCCAAATTGTCAGATTTCACAAAGTCACTTTTTTTAAAACCTACTTGTTTCTAGTACCAACATATTCTGTCACAGCACATAACATGAAAATACCATAAAGCTACAGCTGGTGCATAAACCTTTAGCTTCCTAAATCAAATGACAAGACACATCACAAGAGTGCATTTAACCATTTCCTGCAAGCCAGGTTGTTCCTTCATAAGGTTAAGGCAACAACACTGCAAAGACTAAATCGTACCCCCAAACTAACACACAACCTAGAACTCTGCTGCTCATTTCAGCTAAAAACAAGAAAACTGTGCTTCAGATGAAGTTCAAGGATGACTGTCCAACATGGTTGTAAAGTGCAAAGGTACAGAAAAAGCCTTCAATGATAAAACCACCTGAAGCTGTGCATGGGCAAGAGCTGGCACTTGCAGTGTTTTACAAACTCAGACTCTGAAACTTGACTTACAACAATGCATAAGAGATGCTGGTGCACAACAGTGACTAACAGGCTTTTGAGATAGAAAAATTACAGTATAATTGCAAACAGCAAGTTATTTGGAACCTATTCATAAAAGCTCAGCTAAGCCAAAGAGAGCCAGTCTCCATAAGAGCCATAAACAACCACAATCAGGAGGAAACTCAGCTCTCAGTTTAAATCCTGATGATACCAAGAGGTTGTCCTGTTTAAGCTCACAAAGGCAATTAAGGTGATGCAGTTTCACTTCTAATAACAACAAAGCTCATTTCAATTTAAATCATCATCAAGTTATATTGACAACAAATAGTAACAATACCTTGAAATTTCATTCGAAATTCTTCAGCCCAGAAGCACCAAGCCCTACACATTTAACTTTGCACTGGAATCAGTGGGAATTATTTGCCTAGTATCTTGCATATCTGGAGGAAAGCAAAAAGCAGCTTTTATGATGCAGTCCCATGAAACATCAGCATTCTAAGAGCTTAGAAACCTGAAGTGAAAATAACTTTGTACTTTTTAAATGCATGCCCCATATCATATATACTCTCACTCAAGCATATAAGGAATTCAAATCTTTTATTTGATATCCATAAACCCATAAACGTTGCTATTCTATATTTCTATGCAGGAAGGCAGTTTTCCCCTAAAACATTATGCTTTTTAATAAACAACAAACTTTAATTGTATTGCGTGAAAGGGCTACAAATATACATTTTTTAATCAAGCAGACTACACAGATATCTTTGCTTTACAACTGGCACCTATGTTACTGGTACACTTGCTGGCTCACTTCTCAGAGCTCTTTGCCCAGTTTAGATCACCACTGAAATACGGGCAACTGCAATTATTATTTGTTCAATTACGTGCTGAGGCAGGTATTGCAAATCCATTCCTTTCCCCCTCCCAGCCAACCAGCAGTCAGGGACCCCATCTTTATTGACATGCAGATGTCACTGCACTCTACACCAGTCATCTAGTGGCATAAAATAACTTTCCAAAGTCTGGTACAATCATCAGCAAGCCAGTTTTACTCCTGCTTTAAGGAAGCCCTTAAAGCACGGGGCTGCCATGCTGACAGCAGATGGAGCTGCGAGGGTTCTCAGGAACTTGCAGGAAGGACAATAGTTCCCAGTGAAATCTGTTAACCCGGGGCTAGGAAAACAAGGATGCCTTTAATAGAAGGGATAAATGTCGACCCTTTCCTGGAAGGAATCACACACAGACAAACCAAGGACTTGAAAACTAAGCAATAAGAAATTCTGAACATTTTATATGAATGAAACACATGCTTAACACAAACTATTTCTTCAAAACTACACAGTACATACGTTGATGGAAAAGTCCTATAGAAAAAATTGACCAACCAACCATGTCAGCACGTCAAACTGCCTAGTACAAGATGGTGGATGCACACAAACTGCCAAAGTGAGAACGAGTATTTAAAAAACAGACCACATCCACGGATTAGTACTTCAAAAATTTCTCTGTTGAGTGTTTGAAAGCCACTAGCAAAAAAAGTCAGTTAGGACCTTTACTGGCAACAAAATATTTACTACTCTAAGTACACAGAGATTTAAAAGCAGAGGAACACTTGCTTCAAACCTAGAAAAGCCTTAAAACCGTACGGAATTGATCCTAGGAAAAAAAATTAGACATGTAAAGGTCAATGAACACAATGATTTATTTAAAAAATAAAAAACGTAAAAACCATTTTTTCTTCCTTTACAGAAATGTTAAAAGTCAGTCATGGGATCCGAGTAGCTTTTGTAGAAAAAAACGTAGTATCCAGGCATCGAGTCCTTACAACAAAGGAACTTCCCCCCAACCCTCCCCAGTATTTACTCCAGATCAGCAAGACACTTCCCACCCCGCACCCCCCAAAAAACAAATTAAAACAAGACATTTTTCGTTGCTAGTATAAAAACGACCAAGGTCCAAGTAATAATAAAAAAATAGAGTCCATCAATGACTGTAACACAAAATATGTGTATGTGGGGCCCAGTCCATCTTCAGAGAGAAAGAAGTGGCACAGGCAGCAGAGGCGACCCTCAGGGGGCATTTAGGAGCCGCTCCCACAGCAGGGAGGCATTTAAAAGGAGCTGCCCTTCGGCGAATGAGGGGAGAAATCATTTGGAAGCTGCCCCGTATCGAAGGGAGGGCTCTGCACGCCCTCCCCATCAATGGGTATGGGCGTTCTAGCTCAGAAAGAGCCGCCCCCGTAGCCTCCCCCACCATAGCCTCCTCTGTACGGTCCACTGTTACTGCGGCCCCCCCAGTTGCCGCCCCCTCCTCCACCTCCTCCGCCGCTCTTCATGGGGCCGTAGGAGGACTGGTGCTGGCTGTAGCTGCCGAACCCGCCGTACCCGTTGCCGTAGTCTCCGCCTCCCCCTCCGCCGCCGCCTCCGTAGGAACCGCTGCCATAGGAGCCGTACCCGCCGCCTCCTCCCCCGCCGTAGCTGCCGTAGCTGTTGTAGCCGCCGCCTCCTTTGGAAAGCCCGTTGTGATCCCGGTTACCGGAGCCGCCGCCGCCCCGACCCCTTCCTCCTCTGCCTCCCCGGGAGGGCCTGGACGAGCCGCCGCCTCCCCCGCCCGCCTGGATGTCCTCCTTGGGCACGGCCTTCTTGACCTCCACTCGGTGGCCCTGGATCGGGTGGAACTTAACCACGGCCGCCTTATCGGCGGCGTCGTGGTTCTGGAAGTAGACGAAACCGAAGCCGCGCTTTTTCCCGCTCTGTTTGTCGGCGATGATCTCGGCCTTCTCCACGGGGCCGAACTGGCTGAAGTGCTGCACCAGGTCCCCTTCGCCCACGTCCCCTTTGAGGCCGCCCACGAAGAGCTTCTTCACCTTGGCGTGAGCGCCGGGCTTGGCCGAGTCCTCCCGGGACACGGCCCGCTTCAGCTCCACCGCGTTCCCGTCCACCGCGTGGGGGGACGCGGCCATGGCGGCGTCCGCCTCCTCCACCGCCGAGTAGGTGACGAAGCCGAAGCATCGGGAGCGCTTGGTCTGCGGGTTGAGCACGACCACGCAGTCGGTGAGGGTGCCGTAGGCCGCGAAGTGCTCCCGCAGCCCGGCCTCCGTGGTCTGCACGTTCAGCCCACCGATGAACAGCTTGCACAGCTGCGAGTTCTCCATGCTGCCTCCGGGGCCGCGCCTGGGCCTGGCGCCGAGACTCCTCCTCCTGTTCGGGGGCAGCTCCGGAGGTTTTTTCCCCTCCTGCTCCGTCTTGCCGCTTCTTCCCCCTGCGAGCAACGCGACCTCACGGCTGCGGCGGCCGCCGGCGGTAGCTGCCTCGGCGCGGCCCGGCGCCTCCGCTCCGCCTCACCTGACCGGCAGCACAGTCGGGGCGTCCCCGGTGCCGCCGCTCCCCCGGAAAGGCGGGCGGGGGTGGGCGCGAACACAGGCGCGCACAAAATGGCGGCAGCAGCTTCTCGGGAGCGCGGCCGGCGACTGGTGCCCACACAAAGGGGCCGCCGGGAGCCCCGCCCCCCGCGCCTTCCTCCCCCGCCGTTGCAGCCAACGAGAACGATGCGCCGGCGCCGCCCGCCATTCACCTTTAAGGGGCGTGGCTTAAGCCGCGATGGACGTGTGCTGCAATCAATGAAAGAGCGCGACCTCCGCAAAAGTCCCGGGGTTCGCCGACGACGGACGCGGCGGGCAGCCAATAGGAACGCGGGACGCGTTCCGCGCGCGCCGGGAGGAGGGGCGGGGCATGCTGCGTCAATGCGCCGGGCCCGCGGCCGGCAGCCAATGGGACGCCGCCTCCGGCCCGGCGCGCGCTCCCTCCCCGTTGGGCCCGCCCCGCGGGGGGCGGGGCAGCGCGCGGAGGGCGGGGCGCGCGGGAGCGTTTGAACGGCGGGGACCGTTGGGCGCCTCTCGCGCGCGCCCCAATGGCGGAGCCCGCCAGGGGCTTGGGGCCTCCCCTCAGAGCGCGGCGAGAGCCCCGGGGCGCCTCTGGCCCGAGCTCCCCGCTCCAGCCCACAGCACACGGACAGGGTCCCGTCCGGGCGGTTCTGGGGTATCCCCAGAGAGGCACGCTCCACATCCCGTCTGTCCCAACACTCGTCACTGCACTGTAAAGAAGTTCTTCCTCACGTTCATTGAAACTCTCTGTGCATCCCTTTCTGCCGCTGCCTCGCGTTCCCGTGGCTGGCACGGTGAGGCGGAGCCCGGCCAGCGCCTCTGGGCACGGCCCCAGTGAACATGGACAGTGCCGGTACCCGCTGGGTACGGCCCCGGCCGGGCTCCGCCCCGGTGCCCACACCTCACCGCGCCCTCGCCTTCCCCCGCGCTCCGCACCGCCCTCCCCGGGGTTTAACCCTCTGGGCCGCCCCCGTGCCCGCACCTCGCCCTGCCCTCCCCGGGGTTTAACCCTCTGGGCCGCCCCCGTGCCCGCACCTCACCCTGCCCTACCCGGGGTTTAACCCTGCGCTCCGCCCTGCTGCTGTCTGCTCCGTCAGCCACGGCTCTTCCCTCATCTGTGTCCCCCTTCCCCTTGGCAGCCCGCTCCCAACAGGGACAGGGTGGCAGGAACAGCGTCAGGGTGTGCCAGAGAAGGTTTAGGTCGGGTATCAGGGAAGAATTCTCCACGGAAAACGCGGTCCAGCCTTGGCACAGCTGCTCAGGGCAGTGATGGGGTCGCATCTCTGGAGGGATTTAAAAGGCAGTGCGGATGTAGCGCTTGGGTCACGGTGCAGGGGTGGCTTTGGCAGTGCTGACGGAAGGGTTCGATTTGATCATCTTGAAGGGCTTTTCCAACCTAAACCTTTCTGTGATTCCTTCTCACTCACTATTCCTGCTACCGATTCCTCCCCTGCTTTCCCTTTCTCTTTCCAACCCTATCACAGCCTACTCATCCTTAAATCTCTCCTTAGCTCTGAAAAGGAGGCATTTTCTCAGAAAAACAATTAGAGCTGTTCAAGAGCGTGCAAGCCCTGTGGAATGACGAATAGTGAGATAATTTTCCTTTTTTTCCTCTTACTTTTATAGTACATTAAACATCACTGTCATGAAGACTGCAGCATTACTTTCAACTTAAGTGAATTTTTCATTACAAAGATTTTTTTTTTTTGGTCTTGCAGCCACTAGGGTTTATGTTAAAAATTAAGCAGGAGTTAAGAATGGCTGCTGGTTTGCATTAGGCACTGTCAGGATGTAGTTCCAAGTTTCCTGAACTGATCCTGCCTTTTCCCATGTGCCAGCCTTGATGCTTCTGCAAACACACAGCGATCCACATAAGAGAACTGAGACAGCCATAAATGGTTTTATCACGACAAAGAACTTGGTTTTCAGCTGCCTCGGCTTTTTGAAACATTTTTTTGTGTGACCTGCTGGTGCTGGCAGGAGGGAGGAAGCAGAACTGCAGCATCCCCCTGATGGGGATCAATTGGAAATGCTCCCTTGGAGACACACGCACAAGAGGAACATTGGCTGTGCTGGAAGGTTGGTTAACCACAGCCCCAGAGGAAATCCAGAGAGGCTGAACAGGCTTTTGTCTCACAGGCTATGATTATCATTACCTGTAGCATTGGTACTTGCAATACAGTAATCTAATCTGACTCGGACTGGATTTTTTTTTTATGTTATAGCCAAGTCTTTAGTAAGAGTAACCTATTAAATGACTGTGTTTGACAGCCACAAGGAAAGTTGTTTAAATCCATTTATCTCAATGCATGAACTGACACCATGATTTTATCTAGTTTAAGAAAAGAGAATATCCCATAATGCCACTGAAATATTTGCAGGTTTTAAATAAACAAACGTATCCTACTGTACTAAATAAAAATCTTCCCAGGGGCTGTCTGCAAGCTGCACATAAATTACAGGAAATACAAAACTATTTTGTGTACTAGTTATGGTGAGAGCTGTATGGCCCTTCACAAGACAAATTAGTATGTGTCACCTGGAAAATAATCCATGAGAGTTTTATAGACCTATAGTAATTTAGAGCAAAATGAATGAAAAATTAAGAGGAGCTAATTATGGCCTCAAGAGATAACAAAGAAAACAAAGCTTGTTTTCAGACACTTTCTCTGCCTGAAAGCAAGACAGACAAGTAGGCCAAGAACAGATCAAAGAAAAAAGTCACAGCTTGCATCAGGAGGAGATGAGTCTCTTTAAGATGTGAATAAATCAGTAGGAAAAATCAGCTGCTGACTCAATTCAGGTGTAGCCCAAATTCTTCCTCTTCATTTACACTTTTAACTGGTTGGTTAATGAAAGGAAGACACCTTTAAGACACACATATCCTTGTCCTGCAGGTGGAAACATCACCTCTGGAAATGCACAAAGGCCAGAGTGCACTTGGCCTGGTGTCCTTCTGTCCTGCCGTGTCCCCGCCTTTCCCAGCTGCCAGAGTGAGCTCATGCTGTTCATTCACACCTTCACTCCAGTCCTGCTCTGCTCATTCCCTGCCTGGCAGGGCTGAGAGCCTGCTCACATCCCTGTGCCCTGACACACCTCCCAGGCTCTGGGGTGCAGCTGAACAGCCAGCTGAGCACCAGCTTCTCCTGCCCACCCCACAGAGCTGCACTCCTCCCGGTCATCCCAGCTGCCTGGGGGCTCCAACCAGCCCTCTCCAACTGCTGCTGGACTCACCTCTGCTGAGGCACCCCCTCATCACTTGGTGCACACATTCCCAGGAACTAGGTGCCTTTCTGTGCTCCTGAAATGCACTTTTCCTTTGTCCTGGATTGCCAAGCTAATTGTATTCTATTTGCCATCTGGATGGCAGCTGTCTTCTGTTAAGTGGGCAGTTTTCTTATCTCTTCCACAACATCTGCTGATAACAGCTATTGAATGTCACTGCATGACTGATAAGAACTACAGCATCCCATTGGGAGATGCTCTGCCCAGAGGGAGGAGCCAAGCATTCCTGCCTGGATATAATCTGGAGATTCTGGAACACCAGCACAGCTTCTGCACAGGATTCCCCAGAGGAACAGCAGCTGCCTCTTCCCCTGGATCTTCAGAGGAAGAGACTGCACCTTTCTCCAGGATCCCTGCTCCAGCAGAACCAGCCCTGGCACTGCAGGAGGGCTGCAGCCACATTTCCAATGGGACTGCTGCCAACACCCTGACCCACAGGGTGTCAGGGTGTGTTCTGATTCTGTCAGTGTTGTTTTGGTTTACTGCATTGTTTATTTTATATTTTTCTTTTCTTCCCTATTAAAGAACTGTTATTTTCTGCTCCCATATTTTTGCCGGAGAGCCCCTTAATTTAAAATTTATAGCAATTCAGAGGGGTGGGGAGAGTTTACATTTTCCATTTCAGGGGAGGCTCCTGCCTTCCTTAGCAGACACCTGGCTTTCCAAACCAAGACATCCTTCAGGCTATGTGAGCCAAGGAGACACAGTGCTGCCACAGTGAGTGCAGTACCAAAGATGAGCCTGACTGTGTGTGAGATGTAAACCAGAAGCACTGCAGCAGCCACAGCAGCTTCCCCACAGAATTTTTAATCTGCTTTTTGCTGTAAACTAGTAAATGCATAATATCAGCCTATGGATATAAAAATTCTTAGGAAAGTGTCATGCCAAAGAAATACATGCTTTTCACTTTCTGACAAGGCAGTTGCAGCATGACATTGTTTCAATTCTGATAGCAACCTATAGAATAAAAAAAATCAGCAGCTGAAGTTTCTAAAGCTAGGTGCTTTTTCAGATAAAAGCTCCACCTGTATCATTACCTAGGGGAAATGTGTTTCTCAAACCAGAAGCATTGGCCAAATAATGCCAATTTAATCAAATGTCTTAATGGGACATTTTAATTAATGTGTTAGGAAGAAGGAAAACCAAATCATGTTAAACCAAATCATGGATATACCTTTCTAGTTATTCAGAAGAAATCATTGTACCCAGAGTCCACAGGAGGGCATTGCTGCTTAAGAGATTGAAAACCAGAGAGCTCTGAGCAGTCCCTTTCCAACACAATTTCCTGTGCTACCAAATATTCTTAGTAAAAGCTGATGCAAAATAAACTATTAAGGAACTCTTTGTATAAATTTTTGTCATTCAAGAAACATACCTTTTTCATGCTACTTAATGGGTCCAAACTGCCAGGATGGAAAAGGAATAATTAAGTTTTGGAAAAGAGCATGAAGGGCAATAGAAAAACATCATGAAGTGAGAAGTAGTTTGTAAGTTATAAATATTTTATCTAAACCCTCATATAAACACAAAGTCATATCTTTTTAACTAGTTTCAACCTCTTTAGTTACATCTGTGGCTTCCACTCTTGGCAGGCATTGGTTATTTTTTTAAGCAATTTATGTATATCACTTGAATTTTTAATGAGTTTAAGAATTTTTTTAGTATAGTACAATGCTCTAGACTTAGGTCTAGTTTGACCTTTCA